GGAAAAAGCCGTTGGAGGATAGAGGCAGTGAGATTTTTTAACAGTTTAATGTCTCTATCAACTTCAGCTTCAGACTTCCTGTCAATTGCAGTGTCTTCTGAGCCGAGGTTGCAGCCATTAAGGCAGCAGTGGACTGCACTGTTTCAGAGCATAGCTTCCTTCAGAGAAGTGACCATCCACTCAGATAGCATCGAACTCATTAATAGGGCGTTTAGGGCTGGTGATAAAACTGATACTGGTGCCAGGCCATAGCGGATTCGCAGGAAATTGTAATGCTGATGAGCTAACAAGAAAAGGTACCTAGAAGCGCTATAGGTAGAATAGGAGCGGGTCTGTGTCTCGTATCGATCGCAAACGATCTAGTGATCTCTTTGGCTTCAAAAAGTTCAGACTTTCTGTTAGCATGCCACTACCCAATTGGTGTCCATGCTATAAGGATGGGAATCTTACCAGACGCCAACTGCAGAAGCTATATGAAAGAAGATGAGGTGTAATCCACTCAATAGTTCCTTCTTGACTGTCCCACGTTTGGGAGATCAAGACTTATACACTTAAACCCTTGGGAGTGCACACCTTGTGGCATCCCACCGTACTGGTGGGAATGGAAATTCAATGTCTGTGCAAATTTGTATTAGCTACTAAGAACACAGGAGTTCTTATTTTCCATTGCTTCACAAAATGCTAAATAGAATATAGCAGTCCACGTGCGATCTCTCTAGATGAGCCATCTAACCTAACCTAACAAAACCTTAGTCATTCAATATTTTTCATTATTGTTTTAATAAGATATCCATCAGAGCCTTCTTAGTAATTTTTACTATGGTTTTCGCTACTTTTTTTAACCAGGGATGCGGTAAAAGGATGATTTCCGCACTAATAGTTCCTGTGTCAATGGTCCAAGAATTGATGATATACACTTAGTTTGAAACTTTTTTAGGTTTGTCTTTTTTTATTAGCGGTCGAGCGTGGGAGAATAACATGCACTTTGAAAAGTTGTGATTACAATGTTTAACAAATGAAACGAGCACTTTTGAAACGCTTGAAATGGAGCCTAATTTTGACAACTGGTTTTGAAAATAAGGAAAAAACCATTGAATTAATCTCTTTGCGCTTCAAAAAACATACATGCATGTATTTGTATGTACAAAAAATGTTAAGATTGAACTTTAAGTACTACATGAGGGTTCTTGAGTCAAGCATCCGAATCTCTAAAAGGGCTTTTAAGTAATCTATGTAAAATAAAAGTAACTACTGCCAAATAAAAAAATAAAAAAAATCGGGATCTTATTTGAAATAAATCTTGCTAATCAAGAACGTACGTTTTTGGCTCCATGTCAATTTCTTTCAAAATGGTGGACTTGCTAAAAAATAGTTGAGCGCTTAATTTGTTTTATTTCTAGAACCGAACTATTCGATTTTACAGCGGTTTGGCAAACAATTTTTTCTTCCATTATCCTACCAGTTCTTTGTTTAATAAAGAGAAAAATTGCTTGAAATTTTCCCATCTTACTGGCAATTTGTGTACTCCAACGCAAAAGAACTGCGGTTTGCCGGTCAAGACTGTATCAAACCCATTTTTGATTTATCTGTTGTGATGTGAATCGTATTGCAATGAAGGCTTTCTGCATCGAACCCAAAAGATGGTAGTCAAAAGGGACAAGATCTGGGCTATAAGGCCGGTGGTTTAGAACTTCTCAGCCCCTACTATTTGCATAGGTTCCAACCAGTCTTACAACATGAAGCCGACATTTTTTGGCAAGTTTGCTTATGAGTTTTTACATTCAAGGCTACCGTAATGGGTCTATTTTTCACTACCAGTCACAATTCGATACAAAAACGACTGCTTTACGTAGCGTCCAAGAAAAATTTCTGACAAATCTGCGAAATCGTCTTCCAACACTTCTTGTCTTTAACTCATAAGCAGAAAAAGAATTCATATGCTTAGCAACAATCTTTAATGAGTAATGCTTCTGATTTTTCAGCTTCAACATTTTTGTCTCCTTGGAAGGTTCTTGGCCTTCCCGGATTGAATCGTCTACCACGCTTGAATCGTGAAAGCCATTTTTGGTGCATCCACTACCTTGGAGCATATTCATCATAAACTTTGACTAAAATATGATGACTTTCGTTCGCGGTTTTCTTAATATTAAAGTAATGACGAAAAAATCCCTGCAAAACATTTTTCAAGCAGGCATACTTAAGGCTAACAAATTATTGTTTTTTTATGTTAAATGACTGAATGTATGACTCGTGTTGAAAAACCGCACAAGGACGCAAGTTTTTTAAGGCATGTTCGAAATATTCTTAAAAACGTACGAAGAATATAGTTATAGATCAAAGTATATTAGAATAAAATTTTTTGAAAAACTATATTTGTCCATTTCGAAGTGACCACTGCTGACTATAGTTGTAAAGATGGTAAAAATAGTTTTAGAACTTCGTATTTGAAAATTCCAAATTAGAATAAAATATGTATATTTGTATATATATTCTATCTATCATAGTATTCTTCATGCCATATTTGACCCAAACAATTTCCCCAATCATTGGAAAAATTTCTTTGTAGGTATACAGGACGTATGAGTAACATTTATATAAGATACACAAAAATATTGAGAAAATAATTTAATTTCTCCCGTGTTACATACATTAAATAGTAAATAAATTGAAAATACGCTTCATTTCATTGCGCAAATTTAAAACCGTTACTACTTACGCCACTTCCGCAAGCACTAATTGCACTCAAAGTGCTGACGACACAGGCGAAAGAAGCACAGAAAACAAAAAAAAAAAAAACAAAAAACAAACAACGACATGGAATGACAGTTTTATGGCGCATAAGTAAACAAAATAAATTTCAATTGATAAAAATCTGGAATGCGAAGTTGCAATTTAATTTACATAAAAAGACTGACCTCATTTAAAAGCGAGCGAAATAAAAATCGCACAAAACGCTGAAAGTGTGCTGAAGGCAAACATAATAAAAAGCTGTCACATGTCACGACGGCCGCGAAGATACCACAGCAACAATTGCAACAACAACAAGCAATATACATGCGTACACATGCTGGCAACGGTGGGTGGTGGAGTGGGGGTGTAATGTAGGCATGTGTCATTCACATTTCATTTGGAGTTGGCCAGCAAACATCAAAGTTACGCATGTTGCCGAAAGTGGTTGGTGGGGTGCGTTGTACACAAAGGCATGTCACTCTGTGTGTATGTGTGTGTATATGGGTGTATGTAAATTGCTTTATGCTGTGTACAGCAATCTTTTTTACACGTCAGCACGCTGACAAGTCGCACCTCAATCTGACAAGTGACAGCGAATGAGTGTAACAACAAATCAAAAGTTAAATATGCAAATGATGGAGTGCGTCCGGTGTTTGTTGGTGCAGTAATGCTTGCTTGCCTCAGGTCTCAGGTAGCGGTAGCAAATTATCATATCGCGCCAAAGGGAGAGAAGTATACAAATAAACTGTAAATGTGGGGAATATGTTTTGATAATTATGACATTTGAAGGCACCTCGTTTCTCATTACTTTGTTTGTATGTGTTTTATATCGCAATTTATGCCTATTTGAGGGCAATCAAATTTATAGCAAAGTCAAAAATTAAACAACTGTCAGCTGTCGGGCACTTGTGCTTATCGGAAACTGACAATTTGCTTTTGCTTTCAAATTAAGTTAATTGTAGTCTTCCTGTATCCTAGTTTGCGGTACTAAGCTTTTCATAGCTTTTGTGAGATTGCAGTGAGATTTTCTATATTAAAAAATTTAACCCTGGCTTACAGATAAAAATAACAAGTGCTCCCCTCTAATTATTTTAATTTTTTATATTTTTAGTAATTTTTTTTTCTGTATTCTTAAGATATAAATAAAAACACCATAAAAAAATGGATGGTAAAAATATTTTTGGTTTTTTTTTTTAAATAAAATTCAAAAACTGGCCAAATTTTGATTTCTAGAGTAGAATACCCCCTTAAAGTGACTAATATCAATCCCATCCAAATCACTAGGTCTGCTAAATGAATGTTCGCTGAGAAGTTACATTTTATTTCTGGCGGTATTTTTATTGATATTTCCATTGTTCATAAAATTTTTTTTTGATGACTCATGCCCAGCTCTTGACCGATGCTACGGCTGCTACTACGCCGGTCTCTTTCAACCAATTCAGCGATTTTATCGCAATTTTCGACGACAGGCCTTCCGGAGCGTGGCGCATCTTCGACCACCTCTACACCAGAACGAAAACGTTGAAAC